AATAAGTGTGCTGCTCTGCGGTGGCGAGCATAGTGAATTATTGTTGTGAATATCAGTGGATCCATGGTTGCTATGACTGATCCACTGTCACATTACACAATAGGATTGAATGTGAAGCCACAATAACCTTGCATTAAAGTGTGTGTGTGATACTGGTGTCTCTGGAGTTCTAATGAACTATTCATTATTGTTTACTGTAAATGTATATCAGATCCATGTTTGCTATACACTATCCTCATCAAAACTGTCATCAGTATTTTCTTTCTTTTTACAACAACTCGCACACATAGGCGTCATTTACACTGGGGTCCCTACCATTTTGAAATGGCTGATTTTGTTCCCATCACTTTTGAAAGCATTAGTTACAAATGTTCTGAAAGATTACTTGCACCAAGAAATATTAACAAATGAAACTGCTTTGAGAAAGGTTTGTTTGCACAATTTTAACTAGAAACAAATGTGCATTGTCCAAATGTAAAAGTAAAAGTAACTTAAGCTGAAAAAAGCTGCTCATTACTGCAATATATAGTTATATTTTTATATTTATGAATTGCCAATTGCCAGCTGAATGTGTTTTGTTTTGTATCCCTTTGTATAAATAAAGACATTTCCACCATACAATTGAGCAGAAAATGTCTCCAGAATGCAGGAAATTAAGTGTTTAATTCTTTAATTTCCTTTTAAATACTGTTAAAAATCTTCTGGCCTTGATCTTGTGTATCTTCACGTCTCATGAACCAAGTGTTCACAGATGTCACGGCTGATTAGCTGCTCAGTCTCACTTCAACAGAAACATATGAATAACGTTTTATTTTGAAAGTACTGAGTAAATGTTTTCTTTTAGGCAACATTAATGCTTACACTGACTGTGTTTGGCTGCTGTCAGGTAAACCATGAGCAATACATCAAAGTGAAGCAGGGCGTTGTTGAGCATTACAATCCCTAGATAAATACCAGGGACTTTTCATTGCAACACAGATAAAAGTTTGACTGTAACTGTATATAAGAGCTGGTCTTTGTTTTGTTCAGCAGCTCCACACAGGACGGCTGAAGATCATTCGACAGCAGGTCAGTTTTTTCATATTTATCACAGATGTTTTAATTTTGTTGGGTCCATCGTGTGCAGCATCAGTTAAAATCAGCTTCACCATGTTAGGTTCTACCAGCTGACTGCTTTGTTAAGATCTAAGTGCCCTACTGGGATTATATTATTCAAGGAGATCAGATCAGATTATTGAGTGATTTATAAACTAGCAGCAACACATTAAAATATGTTCTAGCCTGTAACTTGAAGCCAGTTTGAAGATTAAGAACAGGAGCGCCATTCTGTTGTTTTTCATTTGAACTCTGGCAGCAGCGTTCTTCTTTAATTAGTTTCTCTAACTCTTATGTGGACTTATTCTTGCTATTTTTGATGAAGATGATTTAATTTTGCCTTCATGTGTCTGCAGAAGCTGAGATCTGAGCTTATTAAAACACACATCAATTCAAGGAAATGTACTGTAATTGCATTCAGCTACTTGCTCTAAACATTTATGGAGTGAGTCTAATGGTGAACATAGCTTCTGCCTTCAAGATATGATTTGAACCAACTAAGGGCTGTGTCAGATAATCCCACCCACTGTTTCAGTCTGTCAAGAAGGATTTTATGACCCACGTTATCAAAGGCTGCACAAAGATGAAGCAGCAACTAATATTTCAGTATTCAGGCAAATATCATTTAACACCTTTATCAGTGCAGTCATGGTGCGGTGATCTGAAGCTACACTGAAATCTCTCCAATAGACCGTTTATAGGCTATTTAAAAAGTTCAAAACAGCTTTCTCAATAATCTTTCCAACAAAGAAAAGATTAGAGACAGGTCTGCAATTATATTGGTTCAGGTTTCCCTTCTTTTGAAGGGCCTTAACAACTGCAGTTTCCATCCATTTCCAATCAACTGAAAACTTTTGAAAAGGCTTTTTTCACTAGAAAACAATAACTCATTACACACGCTGAGAGATAGGACGTCAGAGGCTAATCATGTTGGTGCATTAGTTAGCTTCTCAACAGTAGTGTACAAGGCACAAAATGTTGATATTAGTAACATGCCTGTCTCTTTTAATCAAAGGTCATCATCATATTTCATATCTGCAACATCTCCACCATGAAGATGCTCACTGTGACTTTGTTTGTGTGTGCCATGATGGTGCTGACCCGAGCTACCCGTGAGTATTTACTGGCAGTGGTGGAGTTGCATTTACTTAATTTTTATTTGTAACAGAGTATTTTATATTTTATTATTACTTACTAAAAGGAAAAGTTTGACATTTTCAGAAATACACTTTTTCGCTTTGTTGCTGAGAGTTAGATGAGAAGATTGATATCACTTTCGTGTCTGCTTAATATGAAGCTACAGCAGTATAAAAACTAAAATATGCTGTATAACAAGGGTTATGTGCCAGACAAGCTGGGACAATCTGTTTCCTTGTTTGCAGCTAAGCTAAACAAACAGCTGCCTGCTTTAAACAGTTGGATGAGATGAGAGTAGTTTCCATCTTTCCATCAATCTCTCTGTAAATAAGATTATTTCCCAAAATGTTGAACTATTCCTTTAAGTAAAGGCTATAAGTTCTTCTTCCACCACTGCTCACTGATGTGTCAAACTGTCTATCCAGCTCTTCCACAAACAGAGGACCAACCTGAGCCAGTGGAAACTACAGTAATAGGTGAGTGTGTATTTCTTCAGATTTGTAATGAAGCCCATTTGGCATGTTAATATAAACACAATGAAATAACAAAATAATTAAAACAGCAGATGTCCCAGTTCACTAACTGCTATGTAAAAATGTCCAGCTGTTGATCCTGTGCCAGTGGAAACTACGGTAATAGGTGAGTGTGTATTTCTTCAGATTTGTAATGAAGTCCGTTTGACACTTTAATATAAACACAATGAAATTACAAAATAAATAAAACAGCAGATGTTCCAGTTCACTAACTGCTATGTAAAAATGTCCAGCTGAACCTGAGCCAGTGGAAACTACGGTAATAGGTGAGTGTGTATTTCTTCAGATTTGTAATGAAGTCCGTTTGACACTTTAATATAAACACAATGAAATTACAAAATAAATAAAACAGCAGATGTTCCAGTTCACTAACTGCTATGTAAAAATGTCCAGCTGAACCTGAGCCAGTGGAAACTACAGTAATAGGTGAGTGTGTATTTCTTCAGATTTGTAATGAAGCCCATTTGGCATGTTAATATAAACACAATGAAATAACAAAATAATTAAAACAGCAGATGTCCCAGTTCACTAACTGCTATGTAAAAATGTCCAGCTGTTGATCCTATGCCAGTGGAAACTACGGTAATAGGTGAGTGTGTATTTCTTCAGATTTGTAATGAAGCCCATTTGGCATGTTAATATAAACACAATGAAATAACAAAATAATAAAACAGCAGATGTCCAGTTCACTAACTGCGATGTAAAAATGTCCAGCTGTTGATCCTATGCCAGTGGAAACTACAGTAATATGTGAGTGTGTATTTCTTCAGATTTGTAATGAAGCCTGTTTGAAACTTTTATAAAAACACAGTGAAATAACAAAATAATTGAAACAGCAGATGTTCCAGATCAATAACTGCTATGTTAAATTGTCTATCTTATACAGATGGTGATTATTTTGATGATTGGACAACAGAACGAAGTGAGTGTGTATTTCTTCAGATTTGTAATAAAGTCCGTTTAGACATGAATATAAACACAATGAAATAAATATAAATAAAAGAGCAGATGTACCAAGTCAGTAACTGTTATGTTAAATTGTCCAGCTGATGCAGATGCAGATGATGATTCTGGGACAGATGAATCTACAGAAGGAAGTGAGTGTGTATTTCTTCAGATTTGTAATGAAGTCAGTTTGAGACGTGAATATAAACACAATGAAATAACTAAATAAATAAAAGAGCAGATGTACCAAGTCAGTAACTGTTATGTTAAATTGTCCAGCTGATGAAGATGCAGATGATGATTCTGGGACAGATGAATCTACAGAAGGAAGTGAGTGTGTATTTGTTCATATTTGTAATGAAGTCAGATTGAGACGTGAATATAAACACAATGAAATAACTAAATAAATAAAAGAGCAGATGTACCAAGTCAGTAACTGCTATGTTAAATTGTCCAGCTGATGAAGATGCAGATGATGATTCTGGGACAGATGAATCTACAGAAGGAAGTGAGTGTGTATTTGTTCAGATTTGTAATGAAGTCAGTTTGAGACGTGAATATAAACACAATGAAATAACTAAATAAATAAAAGAGCAGATGTACCAAGTCAGTAACTGCTATGTTAAATTGTCCAGCTGATGAAGATGCAGATGATGATTCTGGGAAAGAGGAATCTACAGAAGGAAGTGAGTGTGAAAATATGAAAAATCAAAAACAAGCTACCGCACAATGATCTGACTTTACTGCATTTATTGTATGCAACGTGTTTCGCTCGTTGATTCTTCTCAGATGTGTGCTAAGTAGACACTGTCTAGGTCATGTGACCAGTACGTTCCATTTTTTCTATGACATTTGTCTGGTGTATATACATTTATAAATCAACATCATATACAAAATATTATAATACATGAGCAAAAATGTGATTAGTCTCCAAACAGATCAAAAAACATCAATATATATCTATTAAACTAAACATACATAAGTCACAAGCATTACATCATTACAGGAACTCATAAATAGCCTGTAGTTCCTACCTCTGTCATGTACACCGAAAGGGGAAGACGGGAAACCCAATATCTCAACTTTCCCTGAAGGTAAGATGGACCTAAGAGAAACATATCATCATCATCTTCATCACAGGGATGAGCTAAAATCTAGTGTCACATTAAGTCCATGAGGCTCAATTGTGTTCAATTCATGAATCCAAAAAGCTTCCCTTCTTAAAAGTTGGTTAATCATGTTACCCCCTCTTGGATTAGGACACAATCTTTCAATGCCAGTAAATTTAAGGGAAGTACCCGAACCATTCTCTTTATAATGTCTAGCAATGGCATAATCCATATTCCCATTTCTAATGGTTGCCTTATGCTCTGCCACTCTCAATTTAAGATTAGTTTGGCCTACATACATTACATGACAGAGGTAGGAACTACAGGCAAGGAAGATATATTACTAGGATTATTGTAGACTATTGTTACAGGGGCACCGGCCCCTGTTGGCTCCCCTCCAAAACCGCCACAGGAGCCTGAAGAAGCACTGGGCGAAACATGTTGCTCACAATAAATGCAGGAAAGTCTGATCAGTGTGTGGTAGCTTGTGTTGTAGCCTCATGCTGCTATCTGTCAGCACCTTATTGTTGTTGCTGTGCACGGGGAAATTCTTGTTTTATCAGTAACTGATGTGTTAAATTGTCCAGCTGATCCAGATGCAGATGCCAAACCTGAGACAGATTAAATGAAACGCAGTGTGATGCTCGTCTCCAATCAGTCTGCAGCGGTATTCTGATGTGATTCCTGGGCTGAAACAGAGGCATGGTCGAGCTGTACAAAGCACAAACACCTGGTCGATGTGTTTTCATGCTATAAGTCTCATGTATAACCTGTAGCATCATTATCTCATATTACACCTTTCTTTTTCTGTCGCTGTAACGCTACTTAAGGAATGAAGCGGCAAGAAACATAAACAGGAGCTGGATTGTTCCTGAGGCCTTGTGTCTTGAATAAGAGCAAACTGAATGTGTTATGAATGATTTTAGCACAGCCTTATTCTGCAGAGTAACCTGTTCTTTCTTGTCTCTTGCAAATTAAAAAGCTTAAGCATTGAAAAAGGCGGATGGTCAGTATCACCTCAAAGAATTCTACCTCTATTACCATTAAATAATACTGTACATATCATCATTTTTGGTATTGTATATATATATATATATACACACACATATACATACACTGATATATATCAGAAGGTACAAGATTGATTTTTAGAAATTTGACATACTAAGTCATGAAACATGACTGACATCATGTTACTTGGAGGGCTGTTGACAAAATATTTCTACTGCTGAAACATACAACTTGCCTAAATCATGAAATTGTCACAGCTGGTTCTAGGGTAAAGACCCAAATGCATACAGCTGACACAGAGCTTGATGCAATGATTTAATTACCAAAAATGCAGGTACAAAGGCTGAAAGGATGCCAAAACATGTAAGGATCAAAACTTTTTACTGGCCGACACGCCAGTTATTGATTGGACGCTGTAGCTAGAACAAAAGTAACAGAATACAAAGAGTACACATGCATAACTAACAGACAACACTTAAACAAAAACAGAACAAGAAGACAGAGGCAGGGAGTCAATAGATAACTCAGACACACAAATGGAATAAACCAGAATAAACCGGAAAAATACAGAACACAAAACCAAAACCTTTACTTGATAGTGAATCAGAGAACAAATAAAAAATAAAACTTTGGAGTAATAAACTTGAGTTTACTCTGGTATCTGTCTCCACTCTGGTATGGAACTCCAGCGATGTATCAGCTCAGGTCATCGGTCGCATGCTATACTTCTTGTTTTTATTGTAGTTGTGAACAGTGTGGACTCAAAATTCCTTCTGTCTCTGTTTGAGAGAAAGGGGGGGGGGGGGTATATCAACTCTCAACAGACGACTGAAGAGACCCCGAAGGAAGAGGTGAAAGGTTTGCTTTCCCTAAGTGCTGTTTCTGGGCAGTTCGACCATAAAACAGCCAGATAAGGCTCGGTGCCTGACTGTTAAAATGACAAAGAAACACTAACCAGAGATTACAAACAGTCTATCAAAACTCTTTTTAAGAGAGGGCAGGAAACTTTAAACTGCCCCCCCACACACACTTACCCATGGCAACTGACCTCCCTCTTTGTTTTATTACCTCAAATCAAAGGATATTCTCCTCTTCACACACAGTTGTAAATTGGTGAGAAACTCCAGGACACCAGAGGACAGCCCTGAACTCTTTGTGTAAACAAAGAGTACTGTCTCCTCAAAAGTAAAAAGTATTACCTTGTTTAATTAAATAATCTTTAAGTTACTTAACTAGGTCTCTCCACTCCATTTGAGTAGTTATGTTACCATGTTGTTGTTGATATTGTTGTTGAAAAGAATCTAAAGTTAATTTTGCAGTGTTTTAATTTTCAGCAAGGTCACCTGCCTCATTTTATGTTGTAACCAATGCTTTGTTCAAAACACTTTATGACATTTCCTTTAGAAAGGATATGATAAAGAAATGTCATCCTATACTCGATTAAATTTCCAGCTCAAATTTAATGTTAACCCTTTAAAGTCCTCACCAAGAAAAAAATTACGGAAAAATTATTTCTTTACATTTTTTATTTTATTAGGGCAATAACAACAATAATCCCCCCCAAAAATTTTAACAGACCCAATAGTTTTTCTGATATACTGCTCTACCATACGGTTGAGATGGCTCTTCATGGTAATACTTAAATATGCATTTTAATACCAACAAACTTTAGAAAACATCATATAAAATGACAGTTAACAGCAGAAAAGGCAACTTCAGCACTTCATTCCTAATTGTGAATACAGGGTTTATAGTGGAGTTCATACAAAACAGCACTACACAGTAACTTCATTGATTATTGAACATTTTGAATATTACCAACATAGTATTTCTGGTCTTTGAGTATTTCAGAAGAACACATTTGTATGGACTCTCAACCTTTTAGACAGACTTAGATACTGAGACAACGTATCAATGTCTAGATCACTGCAAAATACAGTATTTACTTGATTTAGTGTATGGCTGTTTTTCAATAATCAATGAAGTTACTGTGTAGTGCATACAGTTTGGTATGAGCTCTACTGTAAACCCTAGATACGCAATAAGGGATGAAGTGCTGAAGTCGCCTTCTCTGCTGTTGACTGTAAAAAGATTTATTTCTGCAACAACTTTTGCATTTTATACGATGTTTTCTAAAGATTGTTGGTATTAAAATGCATGAAGAGCCATCTTTCAAAAACCGGTCTGGACTGTCTTTGTCTTGCTGATTATCAGTAAAATTAATAATCTGGCGTAACGGATGGAATCTCTTTACGTCTTGAGATGTGACTGGCGGTGCCAGTAGTCATCCGTGGCTGGTTGAAAACACCTATGACAGGTTGTACTGCCAGGAAATAGTGGATCTCTTCGGGGCTAGTTTTGATTGGATCCCCCAACTCCTTGCGCAGAGTACAAATTGGTATGTTATGATATGTTGATGATCAGGAGGCTCTTTTTGGTTATTATCATCATCACTCAGATTAATGGCAGAGTCTTGAGGATTTTCTGGTATAGGGGTTGGAAAATTCTGTGGCCTTGCACCATAAAATGTTTTAGTGTCCATCTATTATTTGTGAAACAGAAAAGAGAAATCACACTTACAAACTATGTACTCTTATAATGCTAGTAATGTGAATACCAATACATGTCTATTTTGTCTAGATAGTTATTTGGTTTTTGTTTTTAAGTTTTTTATTCCATAAAAACTGTACATTTATTATCTTTTTATTATTATTTTGGTATAGCATGATTTCACCATTATAAAGACATATTTATGAAATAATTCAACATATATATAATGGAAACACATTATATATATCATGTTAACAATAATGAATGTTCAAAAGTTTTCAATTTCATAGCAGGCAGTAAATTTGTATTACATTAGCTTAGCCAACCTTTACCATGAAGTGCCAACTCTACCGTTTGGTAGAGCATATTTTTAGAAAATTATTTGACCCATATTAGACTTATTTTTTTTGCATCAAGTTACATAATGCTGTTAAGTAATTCCCCTGGAACTATAATATGTCAAAAAAATATCCTAACCTTTGAAATTTCCACCAAAAAGACTCTTCATGTCTGCAGTGATTTTGACAATTTTAACTTCCTGTAAGGCATGCTGCTTAAAGAAACAGTGATAACTAGTGGATTTTTTTAGCACAGCATACCTACACCGAATGATAGAGATGGTTTAAACAGGTTGAAATAAGTTCAGTACATTTTTCAATGAGATACAGTGACTAAAAATGATGTCTTCCAAATGGTTGAGAGGACGTTAAAGGGTTAAATCATTAAATTCCCCAGATCCTGAGCAAAGGGTTGTTTTAGGATTAATCAAAGCTATCTTCATGTAACCAGAGCTCCCCCAAGTGGACAAAAAAAGTATTACATGCCATCGTTCTGAAATGCCGATGTGATTCCTAGGAAATGCTAACCTTAAAGCTGAACTACTGACAATTGTTTTCCTTTTTATGAAATGCTTAAAACTAAGAACGGTATACCCGTTTGAAAATTAAGGTTTGATTGTGGGAAGATATTTGATTACAATACGCGCAAATAGATTTTTGAATAGACATATTAAAAGTTTAAAGAAAAGACAGTTTCTCAGGAAACCGGAAACAAGCCCTCAGGGGGAACAAAGGACTGCCCTCTGGAAACCACGCCCCAACAAACAACAACAGCGACAAACGCTGTCCTTCGCTCTCTCTTGTCCTGTTCTCTTCAACTGTACTTCGGCACACGCCCAGTGTCCTCCCTCTCCCGGCAACGCCCTAAGAAGTTCAACCTGGCGCAGCGAAGTTTCTTTGTTCATTTCAAGCCACACACGGAGCGCTGCAACCTCGACTTTTGCCTCGTTCCCAGCAACTTACTTGTTTTCTTTTCTTTTCTTTTGTTTGCTAAAAGTTATCAGACCGTTAAGTTACACTAGTTTAATTCAAGAACAACAAAGTTCTTTTTAAACTTTATTCGTCAAGCTAACTTACACTGCTCCCACCAACGTCCGGACCCAAAAGAACAGCCTAATTGCCAGACCGAGGACGGTCAACACAGACATATGAGACTGACTTAAGATAATTGAGCGATTATTAACTAACTGATCATGACATTTAGCTGACGCTTTTATCCAAAGCGACTTACAATTGCTATACATGTGAGAGGTCGCACACGTCTGGAGCAAGTGTCTTGCTCAGGGACACAATGGTGGATGTCACTCAAACACACATTACCTTCTTCCCGTTCCAGGTGCTTAATTATCCAATTATAAGAGCTTTATATTTCAGAACGACAACTGAATTCTTCCTTCCTTCAGCGCCAGATCCCTTTTCTGCCAGAAGATACCAAAATAACAGACGTAATATTAACATTTAAGGAATATGAATCCTTTGTCAGTAAACCTATTTCCGTTACCATTCCAGAGTAAATGGAGATGCAGTAAAGGAAAATGTGAGATTTTCATACTTACACAAAAATGGTGACACCATGTGTTTGAATGGAACGTTGTGGTGATGGTTACTCTAGTCCCTTCCCCATGTAATGCAAATAAATACAAGCCAGTTGAAATGATTCCAATATTGCATCCAGGCATTGGCCTAGTTATTGCAATTACAAGTTTAACGCGACCAGACCTACAAAAAGCACAACACTACATCACTCTTTATCACTCAAAATCAACCGGCCTATTCCCGCTCTGGCCAGCTCCCACTGTGTGGGCACGGCCCAAGAAAACCTACCATGTAGCAGTCTTTTTACATGTCTCTCCTCATCTCCCTTGGGAAATGGCGCAAAAGGCCGAGGCTAACATGTAGCAGTCCTACTACATCTATTCCTCTGTCCTCCTAGGTCAATAGCATTTCACTCTCCTCGTTTACTCCTCTCACGGAGAGCGAAGTATCAGAACTCCTGACCCGTAGCCATCTCACTCCATGCCCACTTGACCTGATTCCTATGAGTCTCCTCCAAGCCATATCTCCTACCATGGTCCCGGCAATCACTCGTGATAAATACT